TTTTTACTTTTTATTATTCTTTTATAATTAGCTTTTTTAGTTTTTTAATATACGCTTTTTTTATTAAGTACTTTACTTACGCAGTTTTTATTATTTTTTTTTATACTTTAGCTTTTTTAACGTAGTAAATTTAATATTAATTATATTTATAGTTTTCTTATTTTATATATTTATTATTAAGGTACTTTATAAAAAAGCTAAGGTCTGGGCTAAATATTACTTTATCGTTACTATTAAGGCTTAGTAATATTTAGCTAGGTAATTAGTCTTTTATATAAATATCTTTAATAAGTTTATTATTACGTTTTTGTAAATAAAAACGGCTATTTTATTTATATATAAAGTATTAGAGGTATTTATTATCTAAGTATTTTACTTAAAATAATTCTTTATAAAAAGGGTCCGTAGGGTTAAGTAGAGAATAGTCTTAATTTATATAGGGGGTTATTATAACCTTTTTATATTCTTTAGTCCTATAGAACTAAATAGTTTAATTATTTTTAAAAAAGTAGATATATTTATACCGTAGTTCTTTATTATCCTTTTTAGAGCTAGTATTATTAATACTAAGTAGTGCTTTATAATCGATCTCTATTTAAGTACGTTATTAAGTAATATTACGAAATTCGTTCGAATTATAAAGTAATTCTATTTTATTAAAATAAAAAGAGCTAGGTCCTAGTTTAATATCTTTTTTTTTAAAATTAAAATTAATTTTTTTTTTTATAATTCCGAAGTTAAGAGTTAGTTTTTTAATTATTTTAATTTTATTTTTATATAAGAGGTTTTTAAGCTATTCCTTAACTTTATAAATAAATTTTTTATTACTATTTACTTTTCGTATTATATAAATAGACTTAGTTAGGATTTTATTTAAATCGAGTCTTTTTTTAAACTTAGTAAATTATTTCTAATTTATATAGTTTTATTATACTATATAGATAAGGCTATTTATAATTTTTTTAGTATTAGGTCCTTTTTTTTTAAATTTAAGGAGTTACTCCTTTATATTAGCTAAGAGTTTTTATTTAATTCGACTTTCGAGGAGGTAAAGTATATCCCTTATAATAAGGTCTATTTTAACTTTTTTTTTTATATTTTTATAAATTTAAAAGAGCGTAGTAATATATTTAATATTATTTTCTTTAAGAATATAGGGTTAGTAAGCGAGTATCTTTTTTTCTTTTATTATTACTACTAGGGTTTTAATAAATAGTATAGTATTATATCTAGATCGTTTTATATTTTTAGGTTACTTAGGGTACTATTCCGTTTATTCCTTATTATTTTAATAAGTAAAATAGTTATTATTATAATAAGCTATTTATAAGAATTACTTATAGAGTACTTCTTTATTTATAATATTAACCCGTTTTTTTAAAATAAGGTAATATTAAATATACTTAGGTTATTAATAATCTCTAGTTATATATTCTAGCTTATTATAATTATAATATTTAAAGTCTTTTTTTTATTATGGTTCTTTACGTTTAGTAATATTAAAGTTTATAAGTCCTCTATATTATTTATAGGACGTACTTTATTATTATTAGTTTTTTAAGTTATTTTAGTAATTACTTAGTAGTTTACTATAGTTTTAGTATTTTTTACTAGAGTTAGTTTAAGGACGTCGTATTTCTCCCTTTTTTTTATATCGTTTATATAATTAAATATTAATTTTAATAGCGAGCTCGACGTATTATAAGAATTTTATTAATATTTTTATTTTATTAAGTTCGTTTTTAACTTTATTTTTTAGTCCTTAATAAAACGAAAAAATATAGGTTTCTTTAATAAAATTAAGTTATATTATAAGTTTTCTAAACTTAGTAACGTAATATAAAGCGGACTTAGTTTATTAAAAATTAGCTAAGTCTTTTTTAATTTATTACTTTTTATTAGGATTTTAAAATAGAGATTTAAAGGCGCTTTAAAATCTTATTATATTATTAAAAATATTTATAGTTTCTTTTTTATAATATAATAAATAATTATTATTACTAAAGAACTTTTTTTAAAAAAGTTCGAATTATTTTAAAGCTCGTTCTCTAAAGAAAGTTATTACGTAAATAACTTACTTAGTTTTATTATAGAAGTTAATAATATAAAATATTTAATAAGTTTTAATTTAAATTAAAAATCCTTTAAAACGTTTAGTAGTTTTATTAAAAGTAATAAGTATATTAAGCTTAAGTTTTTTTTATTTATTTATAAGAGTTTTAATAATATTAATAATAATTTAGAGGGTTTTAACTTTTTATTCTAAGTCGTTTATTTCTCTTTTTTTAATCTTTAAGTTAGTTATAGCTTCGTTAATTATATTTTAAAAAGTAATAATATTTTTATTATTCTTAGTTAGAGTTATAGCTATTTAAGTAGAGTTATTATTAAAGAGCTCCGTAAGTTCTTTATTTTATTTATTACTTTTTTTAATAATACGTTATATTTTTTTATAATTTACCTTTTTAAGAACTATGTTATTATTAGAATTATAAGTAATATTAAGTATTTTATTATCCTTAACCTTAGCTAGCTCGCTAATTAAGTTAATAAGTTATTTAAAATTAAATAAAGGGGTACTTAGGGTCTTAGAAAATATTATCGTTCGTTTTATTACTTAGTAAGTTTTATAAAATTAACTTATTAAATAAGAGTAATTAAAGTATTATAACTAGTTAGTTATAATAAGTATATTAATAAAAGTTAAGGCTATAAATACTAAGTAAATAGTATTATAATCGTAAATAGCTTTTTTAAAACTATATTTATAAGTTATAAAATAAATAAGGCTTTAGTAATTAATTATAATTTTATTAAAAAGGGTTTTTTAATAAAAATAGCTAAAAGTAATTATAAAATTTAATATTAAGTTAATTACTAAAGAAGTTATAAGAAGTCTATTTTTAAGCCCGGCTTAAGTCTATACTATATATAAGTCTCGTTTTTAAATATATCCTTTATAATATTCCTATTTATTATTATTTAATTATTTACTAAATGGTTATCCGTTTTACTTATTTATAATTATCTATTTTACTTATTTATAAGCGTCCGTTCTTTATTTTATTATATAATTATAATTACGTAACTTATTTATAGTTCTTTTATCCCGAGAGGAGTTACCCTAAGTCCGTACTTTTATATATATAGTATAATAGCTACTATAAGTCCTATGGGGCGAGGCCCTGGCCTTATTATATGTATTAAATCGTAATATATAAATAGCTTTAAATAATTATAAAGCTCGCTAGTTTTTTTAAAAATTAACTAGTTAATAATAGAGGTCGCTAATACCTAGTTAAGTAATTTACTAATATTACTAGTTATTTACCTAGTTTCTATACCCCTTTTAAATAGTATAATTTATATAAATAGGATTATTAAATTAAGAAGTAGCTTAGCTATATTAGGTAGCTATAATTTAGTTATTTTTTACTTACTTTATATATTTAATAACGTTAAATTAGCTAAATAAGCGAGCTAATAATAGCTTAAAAAGTACTACTTTTTAATAATAATAGAATTATTTACTATATCCTCCTTACTAAGCTCTTTTTTATAATAAAACTTAATAGGCCCAAAAATAGCTATATCTAATAGCTAGAGAATATAAGAAGTATATAGTAATAAAAATAATAAGTAGACGTTATTTTTATAATACTCTTATATAAATTCTATTATTATATAACTCTTATACCTATCTAATACTAATAGTCGAGGCTAATTTAGCTTACTAAGCCCCTTAATAAGGGGGGTCTTAGTCTATAATAAAAATACTTTTTTTAGTTAATAAAAAGTAATCTCGTCAGTTGTCTAGCTATTATTTATTATTATAAACTTCTAATTATTATAAGTAATAAGTTAAAGAGGGAACTACTACTATTAAACCGACTTTCCCTTATAAATAACTAGTAATTTAATAGCTTTATTATTAATAAAAATATATTTAATAATTATTACTTAAGTACGCAAACTAAGCTCTTTTTTTTATATTACTATAGCCTTTATTATACCTAAAACTAGCCTATTAGCTCCCTTACCCTTTATTATACTAATCTTATTTATATTATACTTATTAACCTATTTAATACTACTAATTTTTAATATATTAAGTAATTTAAACTATAATTTAATTATATTAATAATAGCTCTATTAATATAGTATAAATCTATTAAACGACTTTTCTAAACCCTTATTAATAGATTTTTTTTAATAAAAGCGTTAATCTATCTCTTTTTAAGTAGTTTAGTATCCCCCTAGAATCTTAAAACTTGCTTAGTAAATTCTCTAACTTATTTATAAGTTAGTATAATATTTAAATAATACTAGATTTAAATTTATTAAATTAGCTAGTCTTTTTATTATAAAAAAAGCTTTTAAAACTTTATAAATACCCTTGCCCTTATTTAATAGCCTCTTTTTTAACCCTAAAGTATTATCTTAAGAACCCCGAACTTAATCGAGGCCCTTTTAATAAAAAAACCGTTTTTAATAGTATTAAATACTTATTAAAGCTTATTTTTAATATATAATACTATTACTTATTAATTAGTATATGTGCTAAAAAGGAATGCATTTGGACGATTTTTGCAATTATTATATTAAATTATAAAATAATAGGTAGGGTTTTAATATAGTGGCTGGGAGGGATTTTTTGGGGTGCCCAAAAGGGGGGGGTGCCCAAAAGTGGGTGCTTTGACTTATGCGCCAGATATTACACGCGTCTGTGAAGCAGTGCTCTATAGACAGCATTTGACGCGGATCCTTCACGTTTTCCTCGAGGTACTTGGAACAGACGTTTAAAGATTTTGTCTCACAATATGTACTGAACCAGTCGTAGAGATATAGAAATTGTTTGACTAAATCAAGCGTATCCAAAGTAAATATTCGGTAATGACTGTGCTGATGTACCAATCATAATAAACCCCGATTAGATATCAAACGCTGTCAGACGATTTTCAAGCATCTGAAGACGTTGCCGGACCACCTTGATCCGGGTCTAAAGCGACACGAGAGAAGTAAGAGCACCAAGCATGTTGATGATCTGTCCAGAGTACGCAGTGACACAAGCCTGAATAGATCCACCAGGGGGGATGATGATAGATCCCGAACCGACCTCAGAGTCACCGCTGCGGGAGACACCGATCCGCTTGCCACCAAGCTGGTAGTACACCTCCCTGGGGTTGATGCGGTTGATTCCACCAGCATCCATGACGTCGACTTCGAATGTAGCCTTGAGGTTACGCTTGCCATTGTTGTTCCATCCGGCGCTGCAAGTGGTGACTTGGCCTGGGTTGGAGAAGGTGTTGGCGACCCAGGTGTGGATGTTGGGCTTGTCGACGCAGGTGACGTCCCAAGCGCCCTGGCCAATCTCGTTGTAGCCGTGGAACTCGACGCACCACTGGTTCTTGCCACAAGCGCCGGGGAGGCAATAGAGGATGTCGGCGTGGGAGTTCTCGGCCATGCAGGAGACCTGAAGCTTGTTAGCGTGCATCCTCTAGGGCGACGACCTCTGCAGACAAAGGCAGACGCGGAGCTTCGTGCTTCAAGCTCTCTCTGAACCACGTTGGCAGGGTTCTCATTCTGAGAGTACAACTCAATGTTTCCCAACTCGGAGAGCTCGATATCCTGAGTGGTGGTGGTCCACTCAGCCCGGCGTTCCAAAGAGTCAGAGGGAACGGCTGCGAGGGCCGTCGGCAGGACAGCGGCCAACAGAGCCGCGGATTGGATGAGTTGGAAATGCATCTTGATAAATGGAATGAATGACAGTCGTTGTAAAGAGTGATGACGAGTGAGTGTGGTTGAGAATGAGTGGATGAGAAGGCTTGTGAGTTGTCTGGCAGGAGAGTTGATTCCTCATGGCTTTCCGAGATGCTTTATACTCGACTTGAGGCGGAGAAGCCGGAAATCATCAACAAAATGCGGTTCTTCATGATTGACATTCACTCATGCAAGTGGACAGCTCCATGACTTACAGTTTGAAGCTATCTCGAGACTTGGGTGGAGTTGATAGGTCTTTTTGCCGGGGGCCCGAAAGCGAGGAGGTTAGGTGCACAGCTTGGTGGAATAGGGTATTTTCGCCTAAAGACAGAGCAACTTCTTAGAGTTTGACTATGTTGCTCCATGGACAATCTCGTGAAGCCTGTGAAAACCAAATGTCGTCTTGCTCATTTACAGAGACCCGGTGGAAGCTAATGGCGACCGCATGACTACGTTCTAGCCATCTCTAGACCGACTGTACTCGGATCCCCTGCATAGAATAAACTTTCAACGCTGCTGAAGAACTTTTGGCTATATGATGGATCTCATGAGGCTCTCCGAGTATTTGGCGATTGTGATAGAACAGGAGCCTTACAAGTCTTTTGCTAAGAGAGCCGTGGTGGTCTTTCCTGTACCCAAGAATACGCAAAGTATCTTTGTTTTCGCAAGGAAGCCGTCGCCTCGTGTCTGAACTTGTATTGTACAAGGTTGCCTTTACGAATTTTCTACCTCCTGAAAATTAGTCAAGTACGGAGTTCTGGACAGCGTTAACCAGAGGGTATTAGGACTAGCTTCATATATTTACACTTATGCTAAGCTTTCAGCTAAACCTCGGAAAGACGTTACATGACTCTCGTCATGCACCGAATAGGCAACACCCAGGCGACATGGGCCTTTTGAGGCATTGTACACGCCAGTAGAATTTCTTCCAGCGTTAGGATCATTATTCGGTCAATTCGGTCCCTGAGTAAACCTTCGTGCTTTCGGCGACCTCGACTACTACATCGCGAGCGTCACGCCCAGCGCACGGTGACGTTGGTCTCGAACCGCCCCCGTAATTCCGCAGAGCTTAGTTGAGTATCATCTTTGAATCTCGGTGTCTATAGATACCCCGAACTTCATTATCATCCTATGTGCTGAGTAATTATTGCCCCGGAACCTTACTCTCCTTTTCTGCTGAGTTCTGAATACCATGGCGTGGGTTGAGTAGGCTTCCATCAGTGTTTGGTGTGAAAGCTGTATACGGGAATAGGGGCACGTCTGTCAAAATCTACTCATTGAAGTGGGGGGCATAGAAGGAGTCACTGCAAGAGGTAAGGGTTGAAAATTTGATTTTATTCAGAATCGACAAGTGGCTGAATGCTATGCTGTGCGGTGGAAAGATACAGACAAAAAATGAAAAGATCAAAGACAGCGAGCTCAGTGTCATTTTTACACGAGCACACAGCTGTCCTACCATAACTCCTGAATTGCAACAGAATGCAGAGACCTGGAACCAACCCACGTGCATCGATCCCGGTGATGCCAGGCTAAATGAGGGCGAGTCCACTCCGGGGGCACGAGCGCTTTGCCAAAGAAATCGCAGTCGAGTTGCGAGTGGCGCGCGGGGATCCTTGTTAGGACTTGCTACGAGCCGTCACCCGACATCGTCCAGGGACTATCAAGCTTCTGGGCAGTAATTTTATCAGATTTGGTCCCTGTCGTCAAAGCTCCACGGGTTTCAGCGGAGGTTGGCTCCTCATCAGAAGAATAATTGAAAGAAATAGAAGAATCAGAGGCGGAATCCGTTGTCAGCTCAGGCGTGTTATCGCTAAAATAATCTGGCGACCCCAAGAGCTCGGAAACGAACTGCAGGGGCGCGAGTCGTGCGCTATACGTGCTGCTGCTGTCGGACTCATCGCCCGAAGGGAGCTCGTCTAGTTCTGGGGAGCAAAGAAATTGCGCGAAAGATTCATCTCGGCCGAGTTCGGCTAGAGATAGGTCGAGGGCGAGCTGCACATCATCGTCGTATGAGATCTGCTGGGGTTTGGACTTGCGCGCCCGCTTGGCAGGACGCATGGTGTACTCAGGCTCTGAATGGTGATTAATGATATCGAGACCGAAAGCAGGACCACGGATATGCTCATCGTCGTAGAGAAGACCCAGCCGATACAGCTCTTCGATGTCGGGGGCGTCTTCCGGGTAGAGCCGGGCTTTCGTTGTGCGAGGATCCCGGAAGGCATCTTGTCTCTCCAGGGACGGCGTCCGACGGTGCTCGCCCGGGAGTTTGTGGCCACTAGAGGCCAGGTTGCGGCCCTCGGCCGCCTCGTCAGTGCGCCATTGCCGTGTAGAGCGGTGAGTCTGGCCCCGACGTGTCTGTCGGTGCTGACGGGTCCGTTTCTGGTGGTTTGCGGTGAGGACGAGGTCGAGGAGAGGAAGCTTCTGATCGGCGAGCTCTCGGTGCAAGGCGATGGAGCCGTCGGGGTGGAAGTAGGCGCCGTTGTAGTGGGCGCGGGGGCGCGGCCTGCTGACCTGCGAGGGGCCGGGGGGCAGGTACCGCTGACTGAGATCTAGATCTAGGGCATCGCTGCAACTGCTGTGAAGTCTTAGACCCATGCTGGGCAGAAGGTGGCTTTATATACGGGGGCTGTTTCTGGTTGGAGTTTGCGTGTGGCGGGTGGTGTAAGTTAGGACCGGAAGGGAGATGTGTCCTAGGAAGGGCGTAGAAAAGACGTAGAGCAAGTCGACAAGGGGTCTGACGCAAAGGTGCGCGCGGTGACTTGAGACCGGTCGAAGATGATGGTTGTAGTATGAGACAGATGCAATGTCGATGAACAGCAGAGATATAAGTACATCTAGACAGATTACCTCGACGTTGTGAGGCGAAACTGATAATGTTGGCCTCCGACGGGTGAGTTGGGCCTGGCGTAGGCTGTAACGCGTGGGCGCCTTCGCTCATCCCTGTAGCCGGCCTGCAGAACGCTCCCGAAAGCTTAGTATTAGTCCAACTTGGGGATGTTCAAGGGTCCTGATGGTGGGTTGCAACGGCCGCTGATTGGGGACTAAGTGACTGATGAGAAGTGAGTCATGCTTGGCGATGATGAGGGCGCAGCGCGTGCTGTGTTACCTGGCAGGCTGACAAGTGACACGACGTGAGATGTTGCGTAGTGCTTCAACTTCCCATTGCCCTGGTACATGCCTGCCTTTCCTAAGACTCGCACATGGAGTAGAAGAGGCGATGGATCTCATGCCGCATGTTTCTTGCCTTGTTTCTAGAAGCTCCCGAGACACTCATTCCCAGCGAAGTCCGAAAATTGGCAAGGCGGCTATCAGTGGCTACGGTGGGCAGTGGGTAGCCGAGACCAGGGGCAGTCATCAGCGCGGAGGTTTGCCTCCAAAGTTTGCGTGCCTTGACAAGTTGGGTTCTGAAGAGACCACAATAAGATAACCCCAGCGAATGGTTCACAGCATGGCAGATGATTCACACTACATAGATGAACTGGTGAAACTGAAAGGTGGTCCCGAATACTACCAAGTAAGTTCTTGTTCCATTCATTCCATTCGTCTTAGAGAAACCCAACGAGCTGGTTGACTCACGGCACGGGGCTACCGGCGATCAATTGGGTTCACTGCATGATCTCATCCCGGTCGCTAATGCAGCATCGCGATGAGATGACTCCCACATCCCTGACTCGATGAACATCAATACACGTGGATAGATATTACGAGCTGATGAACTTTCAATTGGACTTGATGATTGGACAATCGATTCTGCCCAACACATGATTTAGGGTGGTAAGGCACGCAACTAAGTGCGCGGACATGTCGCCAGCACTTCATATGGGACTTTAAGCACTCATCCCTGGTCCACTTTAACGTCGACGACGCAACACAGACAGAGCTTCTTCAACATCTGATGGAACGTCCAAGACCCATGTCACTTCATGTGATATTTGAAGTGACGACGCGGGGCGGACATCACATGTGCTTGTACTGGCAACAAGCACACTTCACACCATCGCTCATCTTTTCTTGCAATGGTGAAGTTGTGAACACAGTACCATGAAGAGATTTGTCTTGGCCTGTTGATCAAAGGCAAGCTACGCCACGTCCTTGCCGGATATCGTGTCCAAGCATCAATATGTGCCACCGTTAAATTACTTCTGAACACAAAAAATTTTCAACGTGAATTTCAGAACATGACAGCATCTAGTACCCTGTTCAGCAGTAAAGAACAATCTCAATGAATTGAGACTGATGGTGACGATGCCGAAGCAACCTGAATCGATGAGCTCTCTGTGAACGACTGCTTGGTCGGACTCCGCTTGTCGAGGAAGATTTGAGAACTGGGCCGAGTGCGAGTGCCTGAGTGACTCATGTTGGAAGCAAGCGTCGTCGACAACTGAATCACCTTAGACGGCAAAGTCTTTAGCAGTTGCCAGACGTTGGGCATACACGCGACCACAATGCCAACGCCAAGCTCTACGTAGGCCCAGAGAACGACAGCCACAGAGTCAGCGGTAGTGTTGAGCGAGGTTGCGAATGCGATGAGTGTCTTGATACGCAGGATGCTGACGATAGTGAGGCTTCAACTAGTGTTAGTCGACGATGCACAATGGGGGTGGCATGCAGGGGTCGAACTTACAAGACACCGACCAAGAACATAGCCATGACACCAATCTTCTTCTTCCTGTTAAGCTGAAGCTTGTAGATCTGAGTGATCGGCAAAATAAGCATGATGATATCGAGAGTGATGTTGAGTGAGACGTGGCTCAATCCGATCCTGTTTAAGTCGACGCAGTGGCCTTCGTGCGCACCATCCCATCCATTCCAGAAATGCGAGAACGGCTGGCATTGCGCGAAGCATAGAACCACGTAGGATAGCACCACGAGCATGTTGAGGATCTGCATGAGCCACAAGATGCGGCGGAAACCTCGGTTGGGGAAGATCTTCAAGAAGAAGAAGAGGATGGACGCTTTAACGACGCCTAGGCCGATGATGTAGA